AACAATGGTTTGTGCATTATAGAGATGTTTCTACAGGTCGCCGTTATCCATCCAGCGCTTATCACACTGGCTGTGTGAGGCCTTTTCTGAAGCCTACAGAGCATCAGATTTAGAGCCTCCTGTCAACCTCTAAGCACACTCGACCAGGGGTATCGCATCTTCGACTGCTCTGCATAATGGTTTGTCAATGCAGGACATTTGCACTGCGGCTGCATGGTCAACACCCTGCTCATTTATTCGCTTTTACCTACGTGATGTAACGGCTCGTTCCATGACACATTCTGTCCTTAGTGCTCTAACAGAATGAATATTGTTGTTCTCATGGAACTCTGTTTAAGCTCACTTCTGTCTGCATGCATTACAGTGTGAGATGTTGTTATCAGTCACAAGTCGTGTCTGTGATTTTGGTTATATTGTCACTAATCAGTTCATGATTATTGTTACCAATCAGTTCAATTGATTTATAATCAATTTATGGACATTAATCTGTTTATACTGTTCAGCCATGAACCAGTTGGTTCATGCCCCCCCCCCCCCCCCCCTTTCAACTTCTTCTTCCCGTTGAAAGTTTTCCGGGGTATTCATGCTTTGTCAGAACGCATAGCTACACAACATGCGTCTGTGCATGGCACATAATTACGCGATGCGTAGTTATGCACATGGGGAGCTGAGTGACAAGACGTTTTTTGGGCAAGCTTCCGCTTCTTACTGTGTTCGAATGGACCCAGTGAGGCGAGGACCACATCGGCTTCGCCCTTTACCCACTAAAGCGAAGGCCTTAAAGGGCGAAGCTTATATGACATAGAACGTTGGTTACGTACTGTAACCCCAGATTCTATGAATATAAGCGTAGCCCTTTAAGCGTCGGGCCTCACTGGCTCCTAAATGGCTGAAGAAAAAAGCTATTTTGGGAGCCGATTTCCCGCTCTTAACGTAATTTATACGGACCGGGTAGGGCCCACACAGCAGGTGGGCGTGGACTAATTTTTTTCAGTGCTTATGCTCTGCATAACGGGATAAACCCACTAAAGCGAAGGCCTTAAAGGGCTACGCTTATATTCATAGAATCTGGGGTTACAGTACGTAACCAACGTTTGTTATTGTTGATGTCACAAATAAAATGTTGTAATCATAACCATCATATCACGTCTTTATTTTGGTTTTATCCTCAAATGGTGTCCCCATTGAGTTTGTTGATTCTTATAAATATTTGGGTATCTTGGTCGACTCACATCTCAAGCTTCATGTGGAAAACTTGGTAAAGAAACTGAAAGTTAAACTGGGTTTCTTTTTCAGAAACAGATCCTGTCTAACTCTGAATGCTAGAAAACGCCTTGTATCTGTGACTTTCCTTCCCTCCATTGATTACGGTGACATTATTTACATGAACGTTCCTACAAGAACCCTGCAGATGTTGGATGCTGTCTATCATGGTGCACTAAGATTCATAACTGGCTGTGATTATCGTACCCACCACTGCACCCTGTATTCACTGGTTAACTGGACATTAACTTCACGCAGACTCTCTCACTGGTATATTTTCATCTTTAAATCACTTCTTGGTCTGTTGCCTTCATACATCTCCTCCTACATGTCTCTACGTGAGTGCAGCTACAGCGTGCGCTCTCAGGACATTATTACCTGCAGTGTTCCCTCAGTGTGGACTGAACTAGGCAAAAGGGCCTTCTCCTACTCTGCTGTTTCCTGGAATATCTTGCAAAAAGATTTGAAGCTCTCGACCTTGACCTCTCTAAGTTGCTTTAATAATCTGTTGGACTTCTGGCAGGGACCAATGCAGACATGTTCCTGTTTTTAGTTTTCTACATTCGCCTTAGAATCTAGCTGTTTTTTGTTACTATTTTGCCATCTTATTTTAATTTGTAAAAAAAAAAAAAAATCCGTATGCCTTTTTATAATTGTCTATTGTCGCTGTTGTCCATTGTTGTCATCACTCTTTGTTGAAATCAGGTCTCTCTTGTAAATGAGTCCTGGAGGCTCAATGGGATTAACCTGTCTAAATAAAGGTTGAATGAATTTATGTAGAGATTACCATATAAACAGACGGCTCAACTTCTATTCATGTTTCACGTGTTGGTGAGTTAAAGAAAGGATTTGAAAGGAACTGAAGAGCCACGATGAACTGAAACAGGAACACATTAGTCTGTCAAAATATATTTCAACAAAAGGCTTTACTGTACAACATTTGGACTGTAACTCACCTTCTTTGCTAATTTGAGAATGGGGGTGTGTTTTGAAAATGAATAAGTAGATATGAACTCTTCATTTTGTTCTGATATTGAAATATGTAGCATAACGACACACTATCTTATTTCACACCAGAGATGACAAACTTAAATCTTTTTCTTTTGCCCCTCCCTTCATGGCTTGCCACAGATGTCTTTCCCAATGCAACTACAGTGTGTGTACATGTGGGGGATTAAAGTGGAGCAAATGAGGGTGGCAGCAGGTGTGGGTGCTTTATCTTTCTCACATTTTAATGTTATTGTCAGGAGGATTTGAACCGGCAACTTTCTAATCACAAACTTGCCTTCTCTAACCTCTGCCCCCAGATGACAAGTTTGAGTCCATCTTTGATAAAATATATATATTTAGCATTTCTCTTTTTGGTCTCTTTTTGCTAACATGGTGCAGTAACATTTAGATGTTTGTATCTTGATGTAAAATACAGATGATGTTTTTAGTTAAAAATGTAGTGTAAACCTGGGGTTCTCAAACTTTTTGGGTTCTGGGACTCCCTAACCTTCATGTTTATGAAATCATTTTCTTCCATTTGTCTCTTTAATGCATGCTTGTGTAAAATAAATACTTAAGACCTGCTCCTTAATAATGTTAATACAATTTTTATACTTTTACTCATGGTGTATTTTCATTGAAGACACTATTAACACATTTTTAATTTCAACTTCCAAAAACTACAGTTTTGAGAAAATTAACAATATCAAAAAACGTTTTTAAACTGTATCCATTCACATAACGAACATAACAAATGTATCGGCACTTCTTGAAATTATTACAGAAAACTCTATAAAACTGAACAGAATCATAACAGCAGTAGTCAGACCAAGTTACGGCTTCATTTGTAAACTGACTGATGCTGGAACGCAAACAGTGGAGGCAGGGGGGTCCTCCCCCAGAACATTTTGAATAAAGTAGATGTGATTTCCTGCATTTTGGTGTATTTTAACAGGTTGTTAAACATCTACGTCTTTCAGCTTTTCCCTCTTCAGAAGTCATCACAGCAAGTCATCCTCCATCTCTGTCCTCACTCCATCTACCTCCATGTCCTCTAACTGCATCCATATATCTCCTCTTTGTCTTTTTCCTGGCAGCTGCATTTCTAACATCCTTCTACCAGTATACCCACTGTCCCTCCTCTGGACATGTCCAAACCATCTCAGTCTGGCCTCTCTAACTTTATCTCCCAGTTGTTCAACCTGTGCTGTACCTCTGATGATCTCGTTCCTAATCTTATCCATCCTTGTCACTCCTAAGTAGAACCATCATCTTCATTTCTGCCACTTCCAGTTCTTTCTCCTGTCTTTGTGTCCATGTCTCTGTCTCCAGACTATACAACATAGCTGGTCTCACCACTGTCTTGTAAACTTTTCCTTTGACCTTTGCTGACACCCTTTTGTCACAAATTACTCCTGAAACTTTTCTCCATCCACTCCATCCTGCCTGAACTCTATTTTTCACTTCTTTACCACACTCCCCATTTTCCTGGACAGTGGACCCCAAATACTTGAAGTCCTGCATCTTTGTGACCTCTGCTCCTTGTAGCCTCACTGTTCCACCGGCCTCCCTCTCATTCACACACATGTACTCTGTCTTACTACGTCTGACTTTCATTTATTTTCTTTCAAGTGCATACCTCCACCTCTTCAAGTTCTCTTCCACCTGTTTCCTGTTCTCACCACAGATCACAATGTCATCTGCAAACATTATAGTCCACGGGGATTCCTGCCTGACCTCATCTGTTAGTTGGTTCATCACCAGAGCAAACAAGAAGGGGCTCAGATTCGATCCTTGATGCATCCCACCTCCACCTTGAAGCTGTCACTCCTACAGCACATCTCACCACTGTCCTGCTGTCCTCATACATGTCCTGTATCAGTCTAACATACTTCTCTGCCACTCTAGATTTCCTCATGCAATACAACACGTCCTCCCTCGGCGCTGTCGTGTTTTTTCATGTGTTAAACATTTGTTGTTATATACATACATTTTTTTTTGTTGACCTCCAAGCACCGGCTCGCTGACCCCTGGGAACCCATTTGACAGCGACTGGTGCAAACTATTTTCAAATTTGTTTGAAAATTCTCAGTGAAATTCATTTATTTCAGGATGTTTTTGGTTTATCTTTAGGGAAATGAGACGATCCAGGGGAGGCTTCATTTGCTCACAAGTCTCGGATTAATAACTTGGGCGGTTTTATTCAGCATTTTTGTTTCCGTCCAGAGGTTTTGTAGGATAGATATTTGTGGAGTAAAATGTCTTTACATACTTTTTGATCCTGTTATAGTATGCTGTAAAACTTCAGTCTTATTTCTACCATTGGACTGTAATAGAAAATTCAACGATTAGTCTTGAATGGAATATTTTAAACTAATTGTGTGGTAAAAATAATAGGCGTGTTCTCCCTTACACTCCTCCGTAATCAGCTAATTTGCAAGTAAAATATGATTCTGCTCAAATGGGTAAATATTTTTCCTGACCCATTTAAAGAAACAAAACCCCTGCTGCTGGCTCGTCAGAACAGACGGGGTTTAAAGACTAAAATCTGGCACGCTGGCAAAAGCTGCATGAAAAAAAAAGGTGCTAAATCTAAGGGGAAGCAGCTAAAATCAAGCTGCTAAAGTCAGTCATTTCAATCACAGCAGTGGAATAAAATCAAGCATTTATGATTCAGATTTTAAAAAGCGATAAAGTGAAAAACACCAGGCGAGATGAACTGCTTCATTATATTTAATCTACTCTATAATTACTCAGTTCACAGTATACAAAACAGGAAATATACGAACAACAGAAATATAAATACTTTGTGGATATCATTCATAGCTTTGAGATGGTGGGAGCTGCTGTTTGGAGGGTGTGCAGGTCTGAGAGGTCGCTCGATCCTCTGATTGTGAAGGTCGCATCGTTAGGAGGCACAAGGTCACGCTGCTCATCCGAGAATGAAATGCACTTAAACTGAGCCAAAACACACCACAGCACATCAAATAAGCTAAACTGGTTGAACATATAACGCACGAGTTCTGCCATTAAATAAAGCGCTGGAATGTATCGTCACCGTTTTTCCTGCAAACACTGAGACTTGGCGATAAATAAACACGTTCTCATACTGAGCGTTAATAAAAACCTGCGGTGGCTGGATTAGGACGCACGTTTGTCAGTGTATGGCACCACAAAGTAATAAAGGGTTTTCGAACACATCATAAGCAGCGTTACACGTGAAGCCCCGCCCCCTGTGATGTCACACGTTCCTTCAGTACAGGCAGGTTTTCTTCATGATTCGCAAGAACTCCTGCTCATTCACTTCTCCGTCTCCATCCCGGTCCGCCTCGTCGATCATCTCCTGCAGAAACACACACGTTTAAGAGGAAGATGAAGAAGAAGAGGGGCACAGCAAGAAAACTCAACTAGCCTGAGAAACGGTCGGATACAAAAACAAAATACAAACATGGTTACAGCGCCAACAGTTCTACAGATGATGACCTAAAAGTTGGCGTGGTCGTGGCTGAAAGTTCTTTTCAACGCATAATCCGAGCACTAAGAGATTGCGCAAGAAATATCTTGCCATGAACCACTTGCGAGTTAACTTTGTCTGTCTGTTAGCATAATATCTTATGAATCGCTGGATGAATTTTAATGAAACTTTCTGGAAACAACTGTTTAATTTACATCTATAACTAGTTAACTTTTAGAGCCAACACCTTTAAAGATGGCTGCCAAAGCCGACTAATCAGAGAAAACACTGAAACGGTTATACTTTATAGTCAGTTTTACAGATATTGTGGTAAAATTTACTGTGGCTGTGAGTCGTTTACAACACATACCCCAAGTGCTAATTATTGCATGAGGTCGTTGCTTAAATATTTAGCATTAAATGTGGGTGTCAACTGTGTCCGTCTGTTAGCAAAATAACTCATGAACCACTAAGCATATATTAATGAAACTTTCAGGAGGTAAACATCAGCTGCACATGTACAACTGATTAACGTTTGGAGTCAGTGGTGCCGCACAACACCTGCAGCTCCTCGTCCGTCAGGTTTTCTCCCAGCTCTTTGGCCACTCTCTTCAGGTTCTTGAAGGAGATCTTGCCCGTCTCGTCGTCGTCAAACAGCCTGAAAGCCTTCATGATCTCCTCTTTGGAATCCTTTTCAGCCTGAAATGAATGAATAAAGACGACAAACTGAAATCCTGCTCAGCCTGTGTCAAAGTACACAGATGGAATAAAACAGAAGTAAACACTGTCAAGTTGAACCACTATGCTTCTGTGCACCATTTTCTGTGTCATGACTGACAGGAAGTCAGCGAAGGAGATCTTTCCTGTGCCCTCCTTGTCCACCTCTGCGATCATCTTCTTGATCTCCTCTTTCTTTGGTTCAAAGCCCAGAGCTCTCATGGCCACCTGACTCAGGATCAGAAAGATGGAGTCAGAGAGAGCAGCCTCCTTCACAGCTCAGCTCTGAGTCTGCAGCTTCATTTTACCTTCAGCTCCTTCACGTCAATGAACCCAGAACCATCAGTATCGAAGAGCTCGAAGGCCTCCCTGATCTCCTGCTTCTGCTCCTCAGTCAGCTCCGGCTTGGGGGCTGTCTTCTTGCGGGGTGGAGGCACCGGACCCTGCAGGGATGGCCTCTTGGCACTGGTTGCCTGGAGGTGGGACACACAGGTGGAGGTAAAACCGTAAAAACACTCAAATAAACTAAAGGCTATTTACATCCGTTGTCACTCACCATTGGTTTGTGTGCGTTTGATGGGAATGAATTCCTGTTTTCGCCTCATGTACGAAGGAGGAGCCCAGTCGGCGTTAACGCTTCATGAAACAACAGAACCTCGTCTTTTATATCAAAGATTTAAAAACAAAGTACGATAAATAAATTGGTTCTCGCTAACAACGTTCACGCTAGCTGCTGTCGCCGAGGCACGGTGTTTGTTTTAGTGACCGTAAAGAAGGCTACAGGGTTTATGGATGTTGTTGCCATGGGGAACACACGGCAGGAGGCAGACGGGCACGAGCGGAGACGAAAACAAACGCACCAATCGGGCAAGGAGCTGAAAATCACATGGTTTCGTGGGGAATTAGAACAATATAATAAAAATTATAAAAGCTGTGGAGTTCGTCTGGTAATAACCCACTTAGTTCAGACTTCTGCGTTGTATTTGCATGATTATTATAAAATTGCAACATTAATAGTCTTTATCCTGTCGAAACAGTAAACTTGGCTCGATACACCCCCTAGTGTCCATTTAAAACATTACACTTGGTTCATGACAAACTGTTAAAAAGTCTAGAAATTATTTATTTTAGTCATTGTTTATTTGCTGTGTTAAGTAAAATGTTGTAATCTAAAAATGACAGAATTATAGCCCAAACACAAAGAAAATAAACCCGCTTTACGCTCTTTATTAAATAAACTATCTATTCCTGTCTTTTTTTTACACAAATAATGAAGAATGATTTGATTAAAAGTACAAGTCATATATATAACCAAAAATAATAATATTGAATTAACTACTCGATATGTTTTCTTTAGATTTTCATTACTTCTTCTCAATGACGACGTAAGGCTTCTTCTTATATTTCGATCTCAAACACGTACGTGTCCATGAAAATAGTAAACCAGATAAAACAACGAATATAGATTACTAGATTTCATGTACTTTTGATAGTTTAGTCTTGAATAGGCGTGGTCTTTGACCTAGAAGGCGGGCTAAATATGGTTCAAGCTCTTGATTGGTGTAAAGTATCGCGTTCTTTGACGTAATTTAAGGCCATTGGTTACTCACAGAAGTCTCCTCTGTGATTGGTTACATCTTGACCAATCACAGAGGCGCATTCTCAGCTGATTTTTCCCAGCTTAAATTTGTTCTCGGTTAAGTTAGCTAATGAATTGGTACCTAGCTTAAATGTGCTGGTAACTGTACCACTTCTTTTTTAAGTTAAAAAACCGGCTCATTTTTATCTTATGCTTTAAGTAATCAGGAAGACGTAGCACTTTTTTTGTTGTTGTTGGTAAGAATACGTTTCTTTCCCACCTGTCAGTCAGTTTTCATGTATTATGGCCACGCGTCTTCGACCGGTGAGTTAAAGCATAAATATCACAGTTCTGTTTTGATGTCAACAAGTCTGTTTTGGGTTGTTTATCGCTCTTTTTTGTCTGGCAGAGCAGTAAACGGTGTGCAGTGATCGGAGGCTCTGGTTTCCTGGGCAGACATCTGGTGGAGAAGCTGCAGGATCGAGGTTATTCCGTCTCTGTGTTTGACATCCGGCAGAGCTACGAGCTGCCAGGCGTCTCCTTCCACCAGGGAGACCTCTGCGACAAACAGGTCCGACTGTCTCTGCTAATCCATGAATTAATAAACTGATTGAAGTCAGGCGTCACAACTCTGGATTACAGTTACTTTAAACATTTCATATAATGGTGAACTAAGCTTGAGTCAGAGGTGATGAAACATAATATGTAGCTTTATCCTCTAAACAATTTTGAGCACATTTGCTCTGAGATGTGCTGCTGCAGGGAATATTGAGCCACTTGACATCAACACATGTCAGGCCAAATGACTTAACCAGCCTCGTTTGGTTGTTTACGTCCTTATCTTGTTTTTACCTACTTGCTTTTATTTTCACACTGTATTCAAAACTGTGTATTCAGTAGGAGAGTGCAAATGTCAGAAGCTGTGAGGCGTCCGGTCTGTTTTCTCCAGGCTCTGCTGTCAGCTCTGAAGGATGTATCTCTGGTTTTCCACTGCGCCTCTCCAGCCCCAGGGAGCGACGATCGCGCTCTGTTTGAGAGGGTCAACATTCAGGGCACGAAGACGGTCATCGAGGCTTGCATTCAGGCTGGAGTACAGGTAATGTGTGGAAAGCCCCGCACCCCTCTTGAGGTTTTTCTTGCAGAATAAATACACAGCTTTAAAGTGTCTAAACTATTTGACGTTACCAGAAACTGGTCTTGACGAGCAGTGCCAGCGTGGTGTTCGAAGGGACGGACATTAAGAATGGAAGAGAGGACCTGCCCTATGCCAAAAAGCCCATCGACTACTACACACAGACCAAAATTCAGCAGGAGAAGGTAGCAGACATGTTTTCTTTAAAACCGTTATCTGAAGGATGTAGACTGAATAGAAATCAGTGAATTCAGTGAATAGTTGTCAGAGTTGACCTCTTGCACCATGAGGTCATCATGTGTCATGGATTCAAATGGTAAACGGGGAACAAAGAGTTGACAGCACTCTGTGTTGCAGTGCAAAGTTCACTCTTGTAAATGTTCTGTTTCTTTGTTTTAGTTGGTCCTCGGAGCGTGTGACAAGCAGAAAGGTTTCCTCACAGTCGCCATTCGACCTCATGGCATCTTTGGCCCTCGGGATCCACAGCTGGTTCCCATCATGGTGGACGCCGCTCGAAAGGGGAAGATGAAGTTCATCATCGGGTTAGTAAGAGACAATTTTTTTAAAAAGGTTTTTGAGCGTCTAAACAAACATAAAAATCACTTTAAACTTAATCTACGGCTAATTAGTGCCTTTATTCTTGAGTTCAATATTAATCTGCACACATTAAAGGGTCATTCAGTGGATTTAACACATGGAGGTGTTGTGAGGATGTGTGTTACATCATTGAAGTGTGGGTTTGAATAGATGGATGCCAAGAGGATGTTTAATAAAAAATAATATAAAAAAACAGCAAAGATACAGAATGATTCTTTATAAGGAAACAAGGCAACAAACTGGTCCTTTGCTTTTTCTATTTATTTCCTTCCACATTTGCTGTCATCAACTGCTGTTGGAATGTGGGTAATAATGTTTTTGCCTGTGTGTGTTCATTTGCAACACTTGTACTCCTGGACCTTATCGCTGCTTTTGATACTGTTGACCACAATATCCTTATATCAAGGTTAGACCACTGGGTTGGGATTACAGGTGCAGCATTAGAATGGTTCAGTTCATACTTAAGTGACAGGAGTTTCTGTGTGAAGGTTGGAAATGGTGTATCTGTGTCAGTGCCTCTTTCCTGTGGGGTCCCACATGGCTCGATTCTTGGACCCCTTTTATTGTCACTCTATCTGCTGCCTTTGGGATCTATCTTGAGGAAACATGGAAACATTTCACGTTATGCCGATGATTGTCAGAGTTATCTGCACTTGAAAGCCATTTGTCTGTCTGTTATCAAAATATCATATGAATCACCGGGCAGACTTTAATGAGACTTTGAAAATGTAATCATTGTATAACTGGTTGTTTTTTTCGAGTCAGTCTAGTTCAAGAAGGCTGTCACAAATAATCATGGTACCCAACACAAAATTGGCAACTACTCAGTCAGTTTTACAGATATTTAGATTAAAGTCTAGTTTGGTAGTAGCTGAGCGTTAACCTCAGCAAACACTCTGAGCGCTAACAGGTCAAGCTAGATTTCTCAATATTATAAAAGATTATGCAGAACATAATTTTTGAAGATTTCCCTAAAACGGCTCCAACTGGGTCATTTCTCAACACAAGACGAGGCTGTTTTAAAGCTCTGGACTGAAATGCAATCTGCATTTCTTCAAAGAATGCTGAGTTTTTAATTTGTTGTTTGTTTTCTTCAGTGACGGGACCAATCTGGTAGATTTCACATTTGTGGAAAATGTTGTCCATGGACACATCCTGGCTGCTGAGTGCCTGAGACCAGACTCTCCCATCTGTGGCAAAGTGAGCCCTTGAGGTTTTTTTTAATGCATCTGTTCAGAATCACGTCTCTTTATTGGTACTTGTTTCTGCTTTGGCTCTCCGATTTGAGTCCTAGGTGGAAAAATCTTTAATCCTGTACGTTCCTCTTCTCCTCCAGTCGTATCACATCACCAACGACGAGCCAATTTGCTTCTGGGACTTCATGTGTGAGATGCTGGTGGGTCTGGGTTATGCCGCTCCACGTTTCCACCTCCCGTACTGGCTCGTGTACGGTCTGGCCCTGCTCCTCTGGCTGCTCACCTGGATCCTGCGCCCTTTTGTGTCGCTCAAACCAACTTTTACACCCATGAGAGTGGCTTTGGCTGGAACCCATCACTATTACAGCTGCAAACGCGCCAAAGAGGACCTGGGCTACAAACCGGTGGTCAGTCTGAAGGAGGGGATAGCACGCACCGTGCAGAGTTACCCTCATCTCAGACACAATGGTACAAATTGACATTGTTATAGAAAATCACATTTTTGACCTGAAAGGACAGTTCAAGTCACTACTTCTGTGCCTTTTCACTTTATTCCCACCAGCAGGTGGCAGCAAATGATCTTTGTACTGCAATGCATTCTTTTTGAACAGTAAAGACCATTCATGACATCATTTGACTTCACATGGAGTTACTTTTGCGTTAATTTTTATGCTTAACGTACTGTGAGATCGAAAAGCCTGAATTATTCTCATGCAGCTCTGGAGGAAGAGCTGCAGGTTGATAACTTTCCCCATCCATGTTCTGAACTCTCTGCAAGTGAGGTGCTGAAAACCACTTTACCTCTTCAATGATGTCTGTGTGTGTGTGTGTGTGTGTGTGTGTGTGTGTGTGTGTGTGTGTGTGTGTGTGTGTGTGT